CATATTTGGTTTAATGATGCAGCTTTGCTAGAAAGTTCCCATTGTCCTTGGACTATTTTTAATTTAATTGGCGCAGGAGAACGTTCCTTCCCCTCTTCATTTTTAGCCAGTCATTAAGGGAAAGCATCATGGACGCCATCAGGCCTCAGCCATTGCCGCGTGAGTCGGCGACCTGGTTCCTCCAGGTTTGTGTGAGGCAAGCCTTGCCCTTCACATGCTGCAGTGGTCCAGACGGGCCCAGCAACCAGAACTGCCCAAATACATACCTCGGACAGTACAACATTTTTTGGTTGAGGAACGTATCAGAATTTGACTCGAGAAAATGACTCGACGCCTTATGAAATATTCATGGTATCCAGCCCAATGAAGCACAACCAATATGGCACCATCCCTCGTCCAAACTTCACTTTCTTGCTGTGAATCTAGTCTCCTACTACTTGCAGCCCTCTCTACAGATGAATCTGTCCACATCCAGCCCCATTGCCAACACCACCAGAACCAGCTGCAGTCCCGTCCCGAGCACCAGGTGCAGAACCAACACACTCCCCTGTTTTCTCCCAAAACTAAACCCCCTCACTCCACACACACTCCACAGAGCTCCAATCTCTTCCCGGCTCTCAGTCCCGACCCGCAGTTGCAGCCACAACCGGGGCTTCCATGTGCGACTGACAAATAAATAACCAAGCCCGTCCGCCACCCAGGCAAATTCAAATGCACCTGTCAAAGTGATGAAGCACCCGCCCGCAGGGAAGCATTGTTTACATTTTCACTCCAGTCTTTGCAAAAGTGAGATTCTAATTATTTGCACACTGTAAATTAAAGCCAAGTGGGACAGAACTACCAAGCAAAAAGATCACGGGAAGTGGCAGGAGAAAAACCACAGCCGTGAAGGGTCGCAGAGGGAAGTGTAGGGATGATGGACGTGGGACAGGTCAGCAGCTTCAGACAGCCAGGGGGACAGAGAGGGGACAGAAGGGACACGTGGCGTTGACCCAGGCAGCGCAGCGAGCCTTACCTCCGTTGTGCTCATCACAGACGGGGGGGGGGGGGGGTCCGGAGAACTTCAACCAAGTGGAATACATTACGCCCTCACACTCCATACATAATAATGTGCCAAAAATGTGCTGCATTATTTTTCATACCAGTGGACACAGAGAGAGAAAGAAAGACGGTGAGAGAGGAAGAAGCAGAGAGAGGGGAAAGATTTAATTAGTTCATGGGAACATGCAAATGGAAGGTAAAATTAGACAGGGGAAGGGGAGGAAGAGAGAGTGCACGAGTGGTAATGATGGCTATCTAGTTTGGATCAATCATTAAAGGATCGGGGGACTGACAGGCCTCTTGGAGCCCACGCCTTAGGCTCCTGTCCTGGACGGTCGCCAGCCTGGCTCAGTCTGCCAGGCCGCAGAGACTTCTCCTTCTCTCCCCTCCCTTCAGTTCAGTCACACACGCGCGCACACACACGCGTGTACAAACAGTGTGCACTCGTATATCACACACACACAGATGCATCGAAACACACACACACACACACACGTACGCTCACCCTCCCGATAAAAGCTTAATATTTAATGCCTTTGGATGGCTCACTCTGGGGCCCTGTTAGTTTGTGTTTATTAATCAGCGGTGCGTCCCCCCTTCTGGTTGTGTCCTCAAAATGGTGGATGAAAGTGTGCATTTGTTGACTACGGGTGAATTGTGCTTTCTAGTTATGTGATTGTCATTTTCATACAGGGTTTTGATGACAGTTAGAAAATAGCAAAGTTTTGGAACCATTGTTGTTTTTTGTTAGCAGGGACATGCTAGACAGCAGACATGTCCTCTTTTAATAACACTGTCCCAGCGAAATGTGATGAAAATGTCAGACATTTGAGACAATTATATGCATCTACCCCAGACACAGTTATTACTGGACCAGTCTATCCCCCAGTGAAGAATAACTTCAATTCCCAGAAACTGTGTGGCCTCTTTTTTAGCTGTTAGTTCCAAGCTAAAATCCTAATTTATGTGTGAATATGGGTCATAAAACAAAATAATATCCTGTTAAAAATATAGTGCATTTAACTCTCTATCTGTGAGGCAGTGTTGGCCTCACACTCACAGAACAGCAAAGGAATTCAAAATCCATCTCACCACATATGTGCTCACACTTGAATTAAAACGATTGACAGGTCAGTCAAATGTTATCACAAGTCACAGTGCTTTTAAAAAAATAAACTCCTGCATTTAAGTAGTGATTGCTTATGTTCGCATATGTGGTACGCTACGATTCGGTTGGCGTGAAATCCCATCCTCTCCCTGAAAGACAGACAGACTATTTGTGCACCATGGAGCCATGTCTGCAGCTGTGCCATCTCCACTTCCTGTGTCCCCGTCCCATCCCTCCCATTCTTCATGTGCATTTGCGGTAATGTCTGCAAATCCTGAAATTTATGTCCCTGCTGGAAAACATGGTTTGCCGTTTATAGTCCTCCGCTAAAAGAAATAAGGCCGGTCCCTCCTGATGCAAGTCAAGGGACTGATGCAGACTCAATCAGATTTATAAATACAGACCCCGGCAATAAATCCCGGTTTGATTGGGTTTCAATTGGGTTAGCTCACTTGAATGCTATCTGCTTAACCCACAGCTGGCCTGTCTGCTCCATGCAGGCATTGAACCTAAATCAGTCACTTAGTGCTATCAAATGGAACAATGGTGGAGTGGAGAGAGCACTCAAGCTAGGGCTAGAAGCCAGGCTAGCACCATAACGCAACGCAGCAGACAGGAACAGAGTGGTGTAGAGCAGACAGGCCCTCTAATGCTCTTTTTCCTTTGTGTGTCTCAGCAATGATGCATCCTGAGAGCCACGGTGCATTGCATGAAATGGCATCACCCGAACCGAACACACAAACACCTTTTCAGGCTTTTGTCTGGTCTTGTCAAGTGGATTTCACGTCCTAATTAGCGTAGGATGGTGGCATGGCTAACATTGAAGAACAAAAAAAAAAAAAAGAAAAATCTATTTTCATGCAAGCCAAAATACACACGCATGAAAGACCACACTGTGGTATTCAAGCAGGTGTGTTTAACCAAAGTGACTTGGAGTTTGGAGGCTGGATCCATGTTGCTTCTATCGCAGCTGTACAGCTTGGTTTACGACCGGGACGTAAGCAAACTTCCTGTCACCAGCACAGCGGGGAAATAACGTTTTCTTTTTCAGTCCTCTCCAAAATGTGTGACTTCTTACCGGACCAAGAACCACTGCATCGGGAGCCATCTATGACTTTTTGCACAACCCTATTTGTGTTTCCCCAAAATGAGCAAAATAAGCCGTAAATCAACGTGCGCACTATCCAAACAGAGTGATTGCTGCCCAACAGAGGTGCTGATTACTTAAGGAATTCAGGTAATCAGTTTCCCCCAGTGTGAGCCGAGGCCAAGCTGGAGGCAAGGCGCAGTGGAGGCGATTTCACTAATGAGCGTCTTAATTAGCGCTGAAGAGATGCACCCCCCCCCCACCCCCCTCACACACATGCACACACACCTTCCTTAAATATCCTCAGCTGCTCTTCTCTCTCCCTCTCTGCACTCGTGACTCTTTGACATTTTGACAATGAGGTGCTTTCTTCTCATGGGGCTGTCTGGTTTGGAGTTTATGCAATGTCTCTAATTACGAGCGGGGTAATGGCTCCCACTGTGTTTTTTTTTCTCCGTGAAGTGCCTAGAGTTGTGTTTGGCTAACGTTTGTAAGTGTGGGGCCACAGCGATGCACCGCCAAATTAAAGCTCTCCTTCAGCTTGACCCTGCTACTCGCAGCACCCAGAATGAGTTTGCCTTTTTACTTTCCCTGTATTTTTTAGACAAATCGTAATTAAGGAGCCAATTTGGAGGGTCACCTTGAATTTGAGAAAGCTACTTGAAAAACGTCCTCCGTTTTAATACTCCCAACTTTTCGTGTGTGCGTGCATTGGTGCGTGTCAAGGGGTGTGTGCGTGCTTGTGCGGGCTTGAGGTTTGCACTGTTTTGAGTCTGTGGTGTAAAAAAGGTTAAGGTTTGCACCGTGGCCCATGTGGCTACCGATACTACATGCACGTGCACATAAGACACACTTGTGATAATGTTGTTGCATACAAGTAAAACCATCCTCTCACTCCATGTGAAGCACTGACGTGAGGGCAAATCCGCCTGGTCGTCTGCAGAATGAATTGGGATTTACTTTGGGGGTGAAGCGGTTTTGTATCTTGGAGTGTAGGGACCTACAGCTTTTACCGGATACGATGACGCACATCATCTGCTTATGTATCAGCACACATTCGAGCCGTCACCAGCAGACACTATCAGAGAGGGAGAGGGCTTCCATGATCTTCACACATGGATGACTTCGAGTTACATGACCTATATACCATGTTACACGCTCCGCTTGCTCCCCGTGTCTCACCCTAATACAGAAGGGCAGCGCATTACAGGTGTGTAATCTCCTAACAGACACACACACACACACACAGTCACAAACCAGCCAGCCAGCCGGATTATACATCGGTATGCATGATCACAAACGCAACCCGTCTCTTTACCTGCCACACATCAGGCCCCATAGGACTCATGCACTGCTAGGAATTGGCTTGCTGATCTACTGTACGCAAATGGTGCTTATCTGGTGGCTGCAGTTGTATGTAAATAAACTCAGCAGTTTACAAGGAATGGCTCAGACTGATTTCAATATAATGTAGAGTACACAGGCTTTTGAGATTGGGTTTGACCCAATGTTTGCCACTGCAGCTGAGGTTTGAAGTATTTTCACGTTTATTTTTTGACTCACATTGTCAATTTCAATTTATTTATTATTTATGTGCTCACAGATTTTCTAACAATATAACAATGCAATACTATTCAAGAGCCCCCCCCCCCCATAAAGCCTTCATTATTAAGAGTTTTGCGCAATATTTTGGACAAGCCAACAACGGTGACAGTGCCTCCTCTTAATACACCATCATCTCCCTCCATGTTTGTTCATGTTTAGGTTGCAGTCTACGACTATATCTGCACGGTGGAAGACCCATTGGCAGGCTTTGCAGCTCCTACCGACCTCCCGAGAGACGGAGCGACTCTACCGGAGGGCGAGACCAGCACCCACGTGGCGGTCTACACCCTCTACCTGAGTGGGTTGAGACAAAGATACAGGCACTTCCTTCGACAGCCGGACGGGGCGATCGTCGAGGTGGGATTTGAACGTCTTTTGTACAAAATATGTTGGAAAAATACAATGAAGGGGTAGTCTTAGAAGTACACTGTGTGAAAAATGTGTTAACAAATAACATTGGATGGAGCACATATCAAATGCAATGCTGCATAATCCTCTAAACCAATTGCTTTCCTTAAAGAAAATAAGCTTTAATTCTGCATCTGGAACCGCATCAAACTGAGTCTTGCAAAAAAGTGCTTCTCTGACTGAAGTTTGTAGCTCAAAAGTGAAATGACGAGTGGAGGACAAAGAAAGAAGGTGGAGAAATGAGTTTGAGGTTCAGAAAACACTCCCTCTTTTCCTCTCTCCCCCGCTCTCCTCTCCAAGAGGGGGAGGGCAGAAATGGATGCAAGGAGTAGTTCCTTATCCCTCTTTGAGAACAATAAAAAAGACAACAGTACAGCTCTGTGGTCTGAAAGGGTGAACAACCATGACGGATTAGATTTCCTTTCCTCTGGTGAAAGCAGAATTTAAAAGGATCTTGCAAAATATTTTTTTAAAATGTAGGTAACGAGTCAACAAAGCTCACCTTTCCTTTGTCTCTCCTGCTGGTAACAACCATTCACGTTCTCTACGGTGCATTAATAGTAAAACTTAAAACAGCAGAGAAAAAAAACAATGCCGAGCTTTGCGACCTCGTCCTTCAAGCGCTCGCGTGACAGGCGGGTCAGAAACGCACCGATTCTCCGATTGTTGCCTAATTAAAAGTATCACTTTGTGACTTTGTGCAGTAGCAGGAAGTCGTTCCTTTCCTCAATCATTCTGTCAGTCGCCCAGGAGCAACCTGGATCGCCCCCACAAAATTAATATTTTGATGCTTGAATGTCAGAGGAGTGAGGAAGGAGGTGAGAGGGGGAGAAGGAGGGGGGGGGTGGGGGGCGTTATAGGCGCTAACAATTAGCTCTGAGGCTCTTTTGCGTTCTAATGGTTCTCCGTCATAACTTGAGTGATGGTGAGCTTATGTGAGTAAACACACAGCATGGTATATTTATTACTGGTGTCGCACTGCCTGTGTGTGTGTGTGTGTGTGTGTGTGTGTGTGTGGGCACATTAGGCCTCTAGACCTGCACATAGCAGATGAGACATCTGGGTGGATTGTTCACAGCCAAACAGCACACGCCCATTGACGCAGACAAAACGCACACAGATCTTTACTTCTAGTGGGGAAAAAAAAAAAAAAAAAAAGAATGAAAAATGCAGATGTCGACGCAAATTTACTACACTCGTAACGCCGCCACCCGAAACATTACCTCACCGAGAGTGAGAAAATGAATTCATGCCATTTCTGCTATCCGAAATCATTACCGCTGTGCTGACTCTCTATTCTTTAAAGTGTGAAGGGAGTTTCAGAGAGGCCACCTTAAGTGAGATGTAGGTGCAAGTGTCCTTGGAAAACACACACACACACACACACACACCCTCTCACACTCCATCCCTCTGCTGCTCTCTTTTCTCACACACACACACACCGTGTCCCTTGGGTGCTGCTGTCTGTTCCTCGCAACTTAACAGGCAGGGACCTCCAGCAGCAAGAGACGCCGACGGCGTCCTCTTTCACCCGCTGGTAGCGGGGAGCGATGACACCGACGCGCAGCAGTCGCCGAGAGAGCAGAATGCCATTCCCCTTCTCCTCGCAGCGCGGACCCCCGCTTTACATATTCAAAGCTAATCCTCTCCTGAATATATAGACTGTTTTTTTTGTTTTGTTTTGTTTTTTATGTATAGAGCGAGATCCAGGAATCACCAAAGGGCATCCCCAGCACTCCGAAGAACACTTGAGCTGATTTTATTAGTGCTTTATATAATTCTGGCAGCGGTACGCACACTGCGACAGGGTGCTGTGTACAAACTGGCCTTCAGATGTAAGGTGACAGCTCCCCGGAGAGGAATAACCGCCGTGCAGGCACTTCTGCAAAAATTAAATAGATGAAAAATATTGAATGAAATAGAAAATTGTTCCGCTACTGTATGAGATGCAGTGACCATAGAAATGCAAAGAAGTTCCCCTATGTTCTTTATTTGTCATTTTAAAGCAATTGTCTGGGTTTTCCTGAAAAGGCTTTTTACCATATTTACTTATGCCACTGATAGCTTGTTTCATGGTGATGTATTCACACAGCCATGTTACTAGACTTAGTATTACATCGCATGAATCCAATTTATTTGGGCAATAAAAAATGATCCATTTTATTTTACCTTAAGCCGAATATGGTATATTTGACATGTCAACAACTGGCTTACGCTTACATATCATATTATTTTAAAACATTGTTTTTATTTCAGCCTACTATGCTCAAACATCTCTTTCAGCTCATTATTATCAGTATTGGTCAATATATCAAATATCCTCGTTCTTTTTTTATAAACTCTAAATTGTATGCAGCGATTGAAATGTCGGATGACAGTGATAAAAACCATAATTTACCGTTGACTACCGTTGACTCCTCTATCCCATTAAGTTAAAAGACTAATCCTACTTGAGAAGTCTGTTTCCATTTACTGAGGAAATATTGACGGACGGCTCATTTCCTTTTAACAGCTCTGTTGTCTTAAGCAGTGTCCTGGACACCGATGCCCCGGAGGACTTGCTCCTCCCTTAGACTAACATGACCAAAGCACCAGAGGCAGCTGCTCAGCAAAATACACCTAAATTTACATCCGAAATGTGTCTAAACGAACACAATAAATAGCAAGTCCTGGAAGAAGTGCCCTGAGGTATAGACAATGCGAGACAATGTTTGAACGTAACACAACAGCCAGGTGTGCCCTGTTTGATTTGCTGCAGAGTGAGAAACTAAATATTTCGCTTGTTTATTCAGCCATTATCGGAGCAGCTATGTTGACTGAAGTTGCATCGTTAGCAAGAAGTTGGAGCGCAACGGAAGGAGTTGTGAGTTTGCGGTAAAAATGTAACAATAATGAAGTCTTTATTGACTTGCATATAGAATTCTGTTAATATTAATGATCCATCGTATGCTCCCATTCAGCGTGTGTGTGCCCACGGCAGGTGTGTGTAATACTGACCACGTTAAAGGAATCTTCCCGCTGAAGCACAACAATACAAAAAAGTTAAAGCCGCGCTCTCATCAGTGTGCTCCAATAAAAGACATTAAAGGTAAAGTGAGGTGTAGCTTTTCAAACGCTCATCGCCTAGAAACAGATGTTCCCCAGCTGCCAACTGGCAAAACGCACTGCTGACAACAACTGTTGGGGCCGAAATTATGCAGAGAAATGCATCTCTATAACCTAGGACCTTCAGAGAAGGCCTCATAACCACTCCGTCTGAGGAAACAAGATGGCTGATGTAGAAATTAATGCAGGCAAAGTCATTATCCTCCCTCCTAAAACCACAGTGGGTTTATGTCCCCCTGTGTCGTTCTTTCTCCGGGGCTAGCATTTAAGTGTCCATGGACTTATAAAAAGATAGGACAAGCCAACTGTGCCCCTTTTGTCTCCTTTCCTCCATCTGTGAGGCAGCAGCATATGCACGAACTGGCTCAGCTTCTGTAAAACTTCCATTAAAGATGCACAACTAAGGCTCTGCCAGCTTGAATATTACCTCTCTCCGCAAATTATTTATGGTTCGGAAAAAGCGCTGATGATGAGCATCTCCAGCGACTTGTATAAATAAAAAACACTTTTCTTTGCAATTTCCGTGGTGCTTTTTTTTTTCCCTCCCTTTTTTGTAGGGGCGAGGGGTGGGGGGGGGTGCTTAACCATTTGTAGAACCAAAAAGTATGGCGTTTTATTTAGCTTTTCTTTATGTGAACCTCAGCATGAGGGACTGTGTTATTATGCATGTGTTGTATAATTATACAGAGGATATCCTTTTACAGTTTATAGATTTTTATAAATGCAGTGACAAGGCTGCATAATGACGATAATTGCCGGCGGTTGGTGATGATCAGAGAAGAAGAGATATGTGAGACGATGCACGGGAGGGGTTGACACCTCATCATCATGGTATGCCCTCAGATCTCTCATTAACAAGGAGCCTTTGTCTCGTCTTTAGCATGACTCAGCCCGCCGTCCGTCTGCACGCCGCCCGCGACTCTCCGCCGGACCAATATTGACCCAATTTATCATGCGGAGAATATGAAGAAGTTAACCTTTGGAAAAAAAAAAGCAAAAAAAGACAAAACACCTTGCAGCTACATTAATTGACACACCGCATCAATTCTCCCTCCTACCCCTCTTTTGTAATTACTCTGCCGCACATTTCATTGCCGCTGCGGAGCTGAGGACCCACGCTTCATTTGCCGTGAGGTCATCGGCAGCGCTTAGAAATATGAATATGATTTATACAGGAAGTGAGTGTGCGCTGTATGCCTTATGAGTGATGACTTTTCTGCATGTGTGTGTGTGTGTGTGTGTGTGTGTGTGTGGTTGCGAGAGACACAGAGAGGGAGAGAAAGATAAGGGGGGGGAAAGAGGGTGTCCTTGGCTTCATACTGTATGTTGCATGAGGAGATTAATGCCTCCCTGGCAGCCATATCTGCTTTGCAAGAGGACTTCTCCAAAGTACACTGCATGTAATTATCTGGCAGGTTTATACTAGTTTCAGATAAAGAAGCACATATTTCAAGTACGTTCAATTGCTGCCCTGTCTGTGTAATTTGCAACTTAAAAAGCAAAAAAAAAAAAAAAGCGTCCGCCTACCTTTTGACTGTGATGCTGTTTAAGATGTGCGTAAAGCACAGGTGTTGTCTTCACGTCCTTCATATATTTATATTTTAGTCTTGATCGTGGCTCATGACGGGGAGAATTAAGTTGAATTTCACATCACTGTACACAAGTAGGCCAAACCCAGATTTTTTGAGAGCGGTTTCCCCTCTGGGACTGGAGGTAGTGTGTCAAATAAAGTCTCCATTTCTGCTTCTCCACCGAGTCGACTCGAAGCACCGGGACCAAGGTGGAGACCGTGCATGACAACACTCCTTGAAGGCCTCCAGGAAAATAGCAGTTCTGCTGCCAATCTCAGCCACTGTCATCCCAGTTCAACCTGTACGCGAAGATGCTTGATGCATATGGCCCCTCGGCCAAGTCCGTCAATTGTTCCTTTGTTGTTAGCCTCCGTTCATGTTGCTTTCGCTGACTATCGCGCCCCGTGACATTTTACATTTTTTTTTTTCCCCCCAAAAGGTGATTGGTGACATGGAAGGGTCGGACTGTGGGACCAGGATGGCGCCCGGCCCGGCCGAGCCGCCGTATGGTCAGAGAGCTGAAGAGGGAGGCGCGGGGGAACCACAACGGCTACGGAAAAGGAAGAAAGCATTTGGGCGTGAGTGTTACTTTTTAATGTACACAAAGTCCTCGTCACCTCATCTCTTTCATACACACACACACCATCTTACTTCTGTAAAACCTTTTTTTCTACCTGCTGTTTGTTCAGTAAAATTGACACGGTTTCATCGGGTGTTTTGTTCCATCAGGGTCCAATCGCGTTGAGCCAGTAGGAGGAAGTGGGTGTGGCTCCAGTTTAGCACCGCATGACCTGCAGATGAGGTAGTTGAACCGTAACTCCTCTCATCAACGGTCGGTCGACTTGAGTCGTCTGCAACTTGCTTCTGTAGGTGTTACATTTCTTGAATCCTTTGTGCTTTTTCAATATTTGTAGGATTTAGATATCAAAAATGTAAATATGCTATATTGCCGGTGTAAATGTGGTATATAAAAGATATTAACTTTTTTTATCTCTTAGTAAAAGAATATGTATGTATACTGTATCAATTCCAGGTGACAATGACATGTTGAGTACAGCGTAGGCGAAGGTCGACTCATCGGAATAACTGCGACCATAATAATTATTGTAAATTATTTTGAACCTGCGACCCCGAGAAAGTAAACACAGCCAGTGTTGTAACCTAATGAAACGCTTCCGGTGAGTGCGGGTTGTTGGGCGTTCAGCGCAGCCTCAACATGTTGAGAAATGAAGATTTGAGAATTCACTAATCAGAACACGAGTGATAAAATATCAATATTGGCCTCACATTAAGCAGGATAATATCCAGGCCAGCTTGATTTGTATTGAATATGTGTCTGCTAGCCAGTGCTCAGCGTAATGAAGTGGCTCACAAATCAGGCCATAATGGCTGCCTACTTACACATATTGCTTAATTAAAGGTTGTGAGCTTATTAGCATGTGTCTCTTGCACGGCGAACAGGGAGATGGGAATCGGGACTGATGTCGTTGACGGCCGGGCTTTAAGGGGTTTTATAGATCATAATAAAGCCGTGCCCCCCCCCGCCACCAAGATCGGATCTTAATAACCTGTCATTTTCATTGACAAAGATTTGCATCCATGGCGGCCGTTACAGATCAACTTCTTGGCCTTATGGATGGCGACGGCGACCATTCCTGTCCGTCATTATCAGAAAACAAACCTTACTTTAGCCTCGGAGTTGCCTGAAGGAGCGAATCATGTCTCTGTCCTATGAAATGAGCAAAGCCCGACGTGGAGGCCTGACACGGGGGTCCCATGATTGCTTTGCGTCCAACAGATAATGACGTTTTGTTTAATGCGATGTATCTCCTGCATTGGCAGGATGTGTTAGACTCTGGTGTTTGCATCCTGGCCTTCTGTCTGCCTGTGACGTTAGCCAGAACCGCGCAGAGCTAATGCGCTTCAATTAGAGATCACTCCATTAACAGTGACAGTGCTACACCCCCCGATTCAATCAGCCCCCTAATGAACATTAAGCAGAGACGCCGGCTCTCAGAGATGACAGGGAGCTCTTCCCTTTCTCCATTTGTCCTACTTTACCTCCTCTCTCCCTTTCATTATTATTTTTATCCTCTGCAAACTCCCCTGTTCGTTTTCTTTTCCCCTTTATATCTTTTTAAAAAAATAATACAGTGCAAAACAATGTTGGTCTCTGAAGCCAAATCAACACGGCCGAAAAGCATACAAATAGCTCCGGTCTCTTTTGATATGTTAATTACCTTATATAAATCTATATTATTTGAGGATTTTTCTTTTTGAATACGCTTTTTCTCTCGTTTGATGTTCTCTGAGAGTATCGTCAACTTTTTAGTACATCATCAAAACAAAGCCCCGTGCAATGTTTGTACCGGGCCCAGACGGCGCGGATACAATGGGAGGCAAAAGGTATTTCAACGGTTCAAATATTTGATTGTTAATGACAAACACCATTTCACCACAATTTAAATTTCAAATTGATCCCTGGGAGCAATTATTTCCAGGGGAGAGAAACACGCCGGCAGGTCTCCGCTCCACACATTTGCTGATTTAAGTTAAAAGAAAACCTTTTTGCAGAGCTATCATACGGGAACTGCAACTTTTTGAAGTATACGCGCCTGCATCTGCTTAGAGCCCACCCAACCTGGGGATGTTGCTGTAGAGTGTGAAAATAAAACATAAAAAGAAAAAAAAAAACACTTTTTCTAATTCTATATTTATGTAGCCCTCAGCTTGAGGTGTTCACATAAAACAGTTTGTATTCAGAAGTGCTGCGGTGATCGTTATGCTGCGCGGTGAGATCGGCGACTCTTCTGGCGCGGTTGGCGGGGACGGCTCAGCCCGATTCATTTGAATTGAAGTTACCAACTAAATAAAAAGGCTTTCAAATTCCCGTTTTTACTGCTTTGATTTATTTTGTCTTTCTAGAGCTTTTCTGATTGATTTTTTGTAATGCATTTCTTTTGATGAAGAACTTTGTACATTTCCCGTGTTTGCATGTGCTTGTATATTTACCCAACTTTATTAATGGCATCTTCTTGTTTGATGTTGAAATGTAATTATGTGTGGTACCTATTGGAGGAGGTTGTTGTTAAAAAAAAACCCAACAATATCCACCAGAAAACAAAATGTGTGAAACCTAATATACCAGACTTTTATGTATTAACAACTTTTATTCTTCGGAAGAAAACGTACTTATATTATTTCATTTGTAATTTTCAACTTTTAACTGTAAATAAATGTTTCTTCATTACAACTTCATTTATTTTAGTAATAATTTATGCAAAATAAAAACGTAAGATGAGGCCGGGCCGAGCTCCGATCAGCTCAGCAACACATGACATGAATCGAGTCGGCCCCAACTACGCTTAACCTGCCACACCAGTGCTACGGGGGCATTAATGTCCCTTAATATGCAAAACAGCATCACATTCCAGACCTCTGTCAGGTTTCCCTGCCCAATCTGTATTCTCCTCCACTGACCCCGAACATCATTTCCTGGTGCTCAAGCCGCGGAAAACACACACACACACACACACACACACGGTTCGGGGTGCGCGGAGAAGTCAACATCGTGCCATATTTCAGTGGCATCTGGATGGATCATGTGCCTCTCTGCACACATATTTATTTATTTTCTCTCTTCCAGAGCAGTGTCAGGGAGGCAGATGTCCTGCTCACAGGAGGAGAAAAAAAAATTGTGTGTGTGGGAGGTGGAGGGAAAAATATATGAATATGCAAATGTCACAGTGTGGAACCTTGTAACGAGCGGGAAATGTTGTCGCCATCTTTCATTATGCAGAGGTCATTGCTTAATGCCAGGCAGCTGGGCCCAGCGTCTTCTCTCTGCACAACCCCCCCCCCCCCCCCCCCCCAACCTCTCCTGTCATCTCACAGCAACTTGAACTAAACTACAGGCTGGCACGACCCCACACAGAGGTCACAGACGCACATGTAGACACACACACACACACATCCAAACACAAAACACCTGCATATTGCTGTAGAAGAACTCAGTTTTGTCGATTTGATATTGTCACTTAAGGAGTTGGGCTCTGATACATAAATAAATATTTACTACACACGTCAATAGTCACAGAATAGATGTGCAGTGACGCGCAATCACGTAAGATCTCGTAAAGAAACAAACTTGTGTGGATGGTTGTGTGTGTGTGTTTGCTTTAGTTGGAAGCTCAAAATTAGGCACGGTCATTTTGTATTTGTTCCCTTCCTTTTGATCGGCTCTTTCCCGTCTCGTAGATTGCTGGGACAGCTCGCTGCTGTTCTGCCTCGTCTCATGGCGGCTTTCGTGAAATGTTCCGCTGGCGTGTGCCCGCCGGTGAGCTATGGATCATCGGGTAAACCCGTCTCCTACTCTCTCTCACGCACTCTTCAAATAATCCCGGGTTTTGAATGCTAAAAATGTAATGAACTTCACGGTTCATTGTGTTTGACATTGCTTAATTAATGGGTGCATTTAAAGTACATAGGGCCCCCGTAATTGATTTATATGCATGATTTGCACATACAGCTGTTGGTTCCTGCAGGAGACCCATCACTCACAAGAGGCGGTGCTGATGATAGGCCGGCTAAGTAATATCAGGATGTGGTGTCGGCCAATCCAGCCTTCAGAAAAGAACACTGCTTTATGTGAGGCCATATTCTTCTTTTGGGATTAAAAATAACTACTTTTCATGAAATATTTCATAGCGGACTCAGGCTGGCAGCAGTTTTGTGATAAGGAGTTGCCTTGTAATTTAATAAACTGAAGATAATACTATTTTAGTCGGCCTGCCTGTTGATTATGGTTTCCTGCCTCACACCTGCACAAGGGTCTCGGCTCGGCTGCATCTGTCCATCCGTCCGACAGGGGAGAGACTTCTCCCCTGACCGAGCCATCTATGGCCTAAACATATTGTGCATTGGATTTCAATCTGGCTTGAAACACATACACACACACACACACACACACACACTCCTCTTGGACAAGTGTTCTTTATCTGAATTATTCGTGGAATAGAAGCAAAGTCTGCAGCTCTGTTGCTCGTGTGTTGTACTTCTGTGCGACCGCCAGCATGCATACAGGATGTTAGCGCATCCAACTTAATATTTATAATGCAGGCGGACAGACATTTTAAAGATGTTCTTTAGTTTATTCTGTAGTTTTGTTTTTTCGAACTCATCATCTAAAAAAGGTGATTATTGTTTATGTTAAATGGGTCTCGGGTGATTTATAAATTCACGTAGAAACTAAAGCTAAAGGTTTTACGTAACACGATTTCAGATATCAGGGAGGTTGGTCACTTTAAAGTGTAAACGAAGTTATTGACAAAAAAGATTAATCCCCGTTGTGGTTGCATCAGGGAATAATTGATGACTATCTCGTGGTCATTTGGAGTGAACGGACCCTTTTAAAGCATCAATCTTGACAATTATAGTGTGCACCTAATTATTGTTGAAAGCTCAGTTTTATTCACAATGCTGAGGCACCACCTCTCCTGTGTTAGCATTTAGCCTTCATTGATCGTGTCCTTTATGCTTAGTCCAGGCGCACTCGGCGGGGTTATAATTATTGTTTTCTGTGGAGATTCTGGGGGTCGCTGGCCCCTAACCATTATTTGGTTTTGGACAGGCCCTCTATGGAGCTCTGATCAATCTCTCACCTAGAGAACATTCTAGCATATTTCTATCACCGGCATATCGATTTTTCCATGAGCAGGCCCCCGTTGTGTGTCTGAGGTGTTTTCATGCATGGTGCATAGGGGATGCAGCCTGCAGCGTGCACACACACACACACACACACACACACATGCGTGCTCTGTACGTCGGCCCGACACATACACACGCATGCTTTTTCATTTATTCATTTCTGTAGACACCCATAGGCATTTCTTTGTGTAAAATGCACGCATCGGCATATTTAGCAGCTTCAGATCTCACACACACACACACACATCGACACAATAGCAGACACCAAGTGAACCATGTCCTCTCTGGGGCCAAGTGTCTCGCTTTCTTTATTACATACACTAATCAATACGGACTGGCCTGGTGTTGACGCCTGCCATCTTTCCTCCTTTCCAGCCTCCTTCTCTCCCTCGTCGTACTTCCTTCCCATCGCTCATCTCTGCCGCACCTTCCTTTCATTCATCCAACTTTACGTCTCTCCAACGCTGAGTTCCATTCATCCGTCGTCTCACATCCCTCGACCATGCGCTTCAACCATCACTCCATCCGTTTTGGTCCTTGACATGTCTTTGATTCAGAGGGAGAGGACAGCGAGAAAAGGGATGGAAGTAATAGCCAGGGAAAGAGTGTGTGTGTGTGTGTGTGTGTGTATGTGTGAGTGTGTGTGTGTGTGTGTGAGAGGCAGCGTCATTGTCATCTATAACATGGCCGGACAGGGGAGGGTGATTTGGATTTAAATAATGTATTAGATTTTCTGAGCTACCATCCACAATGCCTCACACCACTATGAAACATAATAACTTAAAGGTACGCCTCTGTGTGTGTGTGTGTGTGTGTGAAGGTGAAGGAGAGAAACACACTACATTGCTTGTCTTTTAGATGCAAATTGAGTCGCGTGTAAAATGGTTTGATGCAGATGGATCGGTTCAAATTGTATTCCGTTATCTGTTCAGTAATACAGAAAGAGTCTTCCATTGTCCAAGCGAATTACAAAGACACACAAAGTCAACGTGGCAGTGGAATTGGAGCTTCGGCCACAGTGATTTCAGACAAAAGACGTGGCAGAAGCAAAGCACGTGCTGGGGGATGAAAGATGGTGCTGGAATTTGTCTAAAGCCGGTAATCATTCTGTGGCAGAAGAGCAGAACTATATCAGGGCACCGAATCAATATCACATTACTTTGAGTATGGGAGTATATACAAGACTCATCAAATTGATTATTTTTGATGCTACAATAGCAGTTTCATTTTTCCGCCCCCCCCCCCAACGACAACTGTTCAATTACCGGGGCTGTGTTTGAATTGAGCAAAAAAAAATTCAACAAGACAGATGGATATTTATTTGACTAAAATAAGGCCTTGCCTGGGAAATGAGGAATTGTACGTCACAGTCAAGCTCAAAAGATGACTTGTTTTATCGGACATTGAAATTTCATGAATATATTTTCCGAGGGCCGTGGAAAAACAGAATTCATCATGAAGTTTGAACAGGCCATAATGCCACAGCAGAGATTAGTCAATTTCCTAATGTGTTGTGCGTGTGGTATTGTTCAGCATTCCCTCCCCCTGACGTGGTGGTTGTACACAGACTGTGATGGTTTATGTAAAGAAAAATAAGGAGCGCATACCGCACATTGCAACGGGGCAGTTTGGGTGTTCTGAGGTAGAACTACTTTTCCATGGTCGGCGCGTTACAGTCAGTAGACAGAAACTCCACATCTGTATCCAGCAGTGGATGATTTCAAATCATCTAAACAAACTATTCCTCTGTTAAGTCTAGACTTTAGTCGCGCCCTAAAAAGTTGTCTCTCTCAAAGAAAGATCAGTCCAACTGTTGCTAAGAACGGCCTCCACCGATACTCCTTCTTCATAATGACTTTAAGTCTTCAATACGGGGCCATCAGGAGAGACAAGGCGCAGCGGCTCCTCGGATGATTAAAAAGTCATTTCCTTAACTGTCCTCCCAGGATTCGCAAGCTTTCTTTTTTTTTTTTTTTTGCTCGAAAACATTAAATTGCTCCAATCAAGCATAAACGTCTCCTGCTTGTGGTGTAATTTGTACTGCTGTTCGCGTGGTGGGCGCTTATTTGTCATCCTTTTCCTTTGGCGCTTTTCCCAACCGCCTTGATCAACAATTAATGGTTGAAATTGCTTCCTTGTTACTTATGGCTGTGGAGACAGATGCAGCAATGAAAAGGGGAAAAAAAGATGGTTTAATTGAACAGCAAAAATGTGTTAAGATTGGTTCAACTTTATTCATACAGTAATAAACACATCTCTGCTTGTCGTCTTTACGTTTCCTGATGGTTTTGTAGCGCGCTCTCACCGCGTGATGCATTTACTTAATACAGAAACAGTATTCTTTCTTTCCTGTCCACTCTTCTGTCCCTCTCCCCCACTCTGCTCTTTCACAC